GGGGGGCATGAAGATGATTATTTCTACCTAACTCACTGAATGATAAGCAGTCAGATAGGGCTCTGCTTCCCAGGCTGTAGTTGTGGATACCAAGAGGAAAGCTCTTGCACATGACAAAGTCACTGTCATGGAGCCCTCCCCTGTCCAAGCAATGAGCTCATCTAACCACCCAGTCTTAGGAGGTGGGCGCTGCCCACCTGCCTGGCTCCAGAATCCACCTTCCTCCCTCCGAACTCAGAACCCTACCAGCTGGAGGGAACCAGGCACACACATTCTGGGGGAAGTGGGGCTCACCCTGGGCCTCAAAGCATGCATAGGTCTTCAGCAAACAGAGATGCAAGCGAAGGGCACTCAAGTAAGTGAACACACAGAAATAAGATGTCCCAGGAAGCAGTACCGGAAAGCCCGTCACAGAGAAGAGGGAGCTGGCAGAGGACAGATCAAAACCCAAACTCCAAGGCCTGGTCCTGAACATGGGGAGGAGTCAAAAGAGCGAACAAGCATAGAAAGTATCAATATTCCTAGAATCAACAAATTCTTCTGGGGTTGAAGATCTTATAAGGGGACTGGAGGGACCTCATCAAGTAGAACCTCAACCACATGGAGTACTCGTCACCTCTCTTAAGAAACCTCATAGTCCAGTTGCTTAATGAATTAATTAAGCTCACTGGCCCAACCTTGATCTCTCAGGACTGGGTTTGCATTTTCTTTCCTTTGTAGAAAAGGGAACAGGAAGAGGGCTCGCAATCATGGTCCCTGTATCAATTTGCTAGGGCTGCTGTAACAAGGTACCACAAAGTGAGCGACTTAAACAGTAGACATTTATGTCTCTCAGTTCTGGAGACCAGAAAGCCAAGATCAAGGTGTTGGTCTGATTGGTTCATTCTAGGACTGTGAGGGGACATCTGTTCCGAGCCTCTCCCCTGGTCTTCTGGTGATCTTTGGTGGTCCCTGGCTTGTAGACACATAATGCCATTCACTGCCTTCATGTTCACATAGAGTTTTCCCTGTGTGAGTGACTGACTGTGTGTCTACATTTCCCCTTTTTATAAGGACAGTCATATTGGATTAGGGCCCACCCTAACGACCTCATCTTAACTTGATCACCTGCAAAGAACCTTTTTCCAAATAAGATTACATTCATAGGTATTGAGCAAGGCACAGTTCAACTCATAACAGTCCCCAAATGTGCTGTGTAGAGTACCAGCCCCCACCTTTATGTCCCATCAACAACACAGACAGGAGATTGAAGATGGCATTTCAGGATCCTTCCAGGTCCCATTCTTTGTCCACCACAGACGTAGCCACACTTTGTACACTTAGAATCCCTGAGAAGTGAGGGCCTCTGTGTTGAGAGATATGGAGAGCAGCCAAAGTATCTGCTTTCTGGGCAGATACTTTGCTCCCATGGGTACACGCTCAGGTGAGAGAGAGACCCAGCACACAGGGTGTGTTCCAGATATCTGGAGAGGCAATTCCAAATCATTATTACTCAAAACATCTACAGGGTTACAGTTTGTGTGGGAAAAGACATGCAGGTTATGATTATTACAATAGCTTACAAGTGTAAAGCTATTTTGCCCACCCCAGTGGTTAACTACAGTTGAAATAGTACTATTAAGACATTTTCCAAAATTTGTAATAGATATTGTAAAAGATTTATGATATATTAGTAAAAGAAAGCACAATATGAAATTTTACATATGGTTTGATTTCAAACACAAGGTTTTTAGCAGCTTTATTGAGATGTAATTCACATACCATATAATTCACCCACTTACAACCTGCAGTTCATTGATTTTACTATATTCATGATGTTGTGCAACCATCATCACAATCAATCGCAGGACATTTCATCCCCCCCAAAGAAACCCTGCCTCCCTTAGCTGTCATCCTCCAAACCCCACCCTCCATTCCCAGCCCTAGACAACCACTAACCTACCTTCTGTCTATAGTTTCCCTACATGCCTACCTTTCATTCAACTGTATATTTTTAAATTAGAAAAAAAATTGAAGGGAACTACAGATCAGACAAAGGATGACTTTCACCAGTGAATAGCAGAATTATAATTTTAATTTTCTTCCCTTTATTTTTGGTATTTTTCTAATTATACAATGAGTATGAATTGCTAATCAGAAGGAAAAAGTCATTTTAATTTTAAAATAAAGAGAACTGTTGTCATATTTAAGTAGTCTTTGCGGATTATTCTGAAAACTTCTCCAACATTTAAATCACAACCTTATTTTACTGGGGGAAAATGTGTCCAAGTTCCAAACAACCGATTTCAAATAGCAGCTTTGGAGCACAGTTGTTAGAAGTGGAAATGCTTGCGTCGCACTGGTTTGCTCTGCACTGGATTGATTCCTAAGACCAGCTAGCCTGTGTCCCGCTCCTCAGGGTTTTCCCGTCCTTAATCAGGTACCTGTCTCAGCCTTCAGCAAATTGTTGCTTGTCTCAGGTGAGAGGCCTTGTAATTAAACCACATCCTTTTGCCTCTTTAATAACGTTGGAAACAGAGTATAATTCTGTGAGGGGACGGAAGGAATATATAATTTAGTGTCCATTTCCTGAGCCAGTATGAACTTCGTGCATGTAGAGTCTTGCATGCTTCAGGTGTAAAAAGTGATCTGTTGTCTCAGCAAGTGCGTTATGTGAGCAAAATACATACTGAGTCCTTCTAAAAGTCAGAGGCTCTTTGGAGCTGTGTCTAGCATACTCGGGATTTCCATAAGTCACCTTTCTTTGATGAATAGACTTTACACTGGAGGGAAACAAGCTTAGCTGGGTTAGTTTGTGAGACAAATTGGTCCAGTCCACCATCACAGAAACTCATCCGTTGCCTTTGCTAGAAACCAGGGCTTCATCCTTGACTCACCTGGTTCCTCTGTGCCTCATATCAACTCAGCTGGACCCTGATCTCTCTGATTGGCCTCCTCTCCTCAATCCCCACCCCAACTGCCCTGCACATTACTCACCTGGGCAGAGGCAGCAGCCTCTGAACATTTGCCTCCTTTCTGCCCCTTCCTGACCAGATGCTGAAGTTCATCCTCCATGTGCACCAACAGCCCTTCATAATCTGATCCCCTTACCTGTCCAGTCTCGCCACCCACCAGTCCTCCCCATGTGTCCACGTTCCCACCCCAGCAGACCTCCATATTCCCTGGTATGTTACTGCCCCATCCATGGGTTCTTAATCTGAATTCCATGAATAGAACACTAGTGGATATGTGAGTGTCCTTAAAATAGAATGCATAATTGTGTGTGTTGTGTGTGTGTGTTGTGTGCGTGTGCACATGCGGGGGGTGGGGTGTATTTCTAGGAGGACAATCCTTGGCTTTCATAAAATTCTTAAAGATGATCTATGAATCCCCAGATTTAAGAACTGTTCTGGGTGTTTGAATGTGCTCTTCCCCTTTCGTGGAGTATCTCACCTTTCCACCCTGGTGAACAGCTCCTGAGGACCACTCAAACACCACCTACTCTCCTGCTTGATGTCCCTTTCTCTTCGACCCCATTGCTCTCTGCTTACCCAGCACTTTCCAGACTGGGATTTCATTGCTTGTTTACATACCTGCTGTCCCTTTCTGCCCCACCTCCAGCAGTGTCCAGCACACAGTCAGCCCTTAGTAAATACTGGCAGAAGAAGGAAAGAGACCAGGAAGGGCGCTGGGCCATTTTCTCAATGAAGAACCACACTCAGTTGGGTGATAGTACAGAGTGTTGAAGATAGCTTCATCTCAAAAGCCCTGCCCTTGACTTGCACACCCTCAGGAGTGGGGCCCACGTGGTTTATCTTCCTTTTGTATGTTTGCAGACATTTCCTCTAAGAAGTTGAAGGCCCAGCTGTCCAGCATTTACATGGAGAAATCAGACTTCCATTTGCCATGGGAACTTACTAGATGTGTAATGATTTTTAAATTACCTCTTGACAAATATTGAGCTCTTTGTTTTTCTTTTCTTTCTTCCTTTCCCTTTCAGATTGATGCACTGAGTAAAAGAAGCAAAGAAGCTGAGGCAGCCTTCTTGAATGTCTACAAAAGATTGATTGATGTCCCGGGTAAGCCCATGCACTGATAATCCACCAGTGGGCATTGTGTCTGGAGAGTTGGTGGGTTTCAGGCTTATTTGTCTCAGCTTTCCTAAGAGAATTATGCCATCATTGGCAACTTCCCCATGAAACCAAGGAGTTCTGGAAATGGGAACTCTCCAAAACCCAGACTTTGGGTAGGTATGGAAATTAGTGCACTTTTGTTAAAGTCATCACATAACCACCAATGAATGCTTTTGCAAATGTGAAAACTCAAATCTGTGGGGCTACCTTTAGCTTTGGTATAAAATGCTGCCCATTTCACAGGGAAGAAATAGAACCTGTGTATGTGCTATGCAGACATCGTGGATATTTGTGCTTCTGGGTTGACTGATTCCACAGTCAGAAATAGCCCTGATAGGGTACCTAGAATACCTCACTCCCCTCCCTGGTCATCCAAGGAACCAGTGACCACTGGCCAAGTTATTCACTTAAGGTTTATAGCCACGGGCAAGCGGTAGCCCAGTTAGCTATAACTAAGGACTGTGTGTGGATTATTGACATTATTAGAACTATTTTAACAAAGCAAAGCAGCAACAGGTCTCCTTTACGTCTGAACTTGCATTCTAATTCAGGTCCCCTGTGGACTCTGCTGTACCCTTTGGGAGCTGGGATTAATAGAGGTCACCCCAAGCAAGGGACAGCAGAAAGCACTTTGGACAGGAAGTAGGGAAATTCAGATTCTCTTGCCAGGGCCTTGTTATGGGGTCTTTATCACATTCCTTTTCCTTTCTGGACCTCAGTTTTTTCATCTTTGAAATGGAACAGTGTGGGGGAACAGCCTAGTGGTAGAGAATGGTTTTCTTTGTTCTAAACTTTTGCTGTCATGGGAGCTATTCAGCACTTGGTTCCAAATTCTGGTCTTTTGACTTTCTGCAAGAGTTTGTAACCAACTAGAGGTTCCCTGAAGACTCTGGCTGAGGTTCATGAGAGGGCTCCTTCACAGCAAATAGACCATTGGATGCCCAGGGTGCTGTCTTTCTCGGGTACTGGCACCTTGGTGGTCCCATTGGCATGATGTTGTGCAAATGCAAGTTTTGGTTGGTTACTTAGTTGAAAGGGGTCTGGCTTATTTCATCTTTGCCAAAGACCCAGAACCTTTAACTGCTGTTTTCTAACTAACCTACACTCTCCTTTTTTAAAGTCCAGTTTTTACCTAGGTTTTCCCTTAGTGAAGTTTCTCAGCTGGGCAGCCACTTTAACAAATTGTTGGGTTTCTTTTTCTGCCATTATTTTCTATCCTAATTTCCCATAGAAAAAGATGAGACCTTTTTTTTTCCCCATCAATGATCTTTGCCTGAGCAGACTTTATTCATGTTCACATATTATTTTTATCATAATATGGGCAGATATTTACATTCTGTGGGGGGTTTTTTCACTTAACATTATACCATCAGCATTTTTCCCATATTGATGTTCTTTGTAATTATCATTTTTGGCTAGAGAATTAAAGTTTGCAGTTTCGATTTAAGATGGTGGGAGCAAATAACGTTCAGTGTTTTCTGTAATAATAAAAGTCAAGCATAGTCCATCTGCATACCACATAAATCACTTTTACCCACATCCCAGGTATTTCTTTCTTACAAATGCTGTGGTCTGACAAACAGTTCTAACAAGTTGTTTGAGAAGCTTGAGTGGAGCTTGGAGCACTCTACCTGTGTTTTGAAGTCTTGCTGCTCAGATGAAGTAATCCTGTGGCTGAGGTTTACAGGAAGGGCCTGGTCAATAGCATTGCATTTACTGACAGTCACACAGTTGTGGGGAGTCAGGTGCCTTAACTGTCTGTGTGCTTCAGGCTTCAGTCCCGCCAAACCCAGAAACATTGGTGGGGTACGTTAAGTCTTCTAGTTTCAAGAAACATCAATTGATGCTATCTCAGAAAACTACAGGAAGCTCTTGAGAATAATGGGACCGGTATTTCAAGTATGTGCCATGTGGCCCAGCTCCAGGAGCCCAGGAAAGCCAACCAGCCACTCCAGGAAGAGGCAGAGCCAGAGTCGCATGCCTCAGAGAGTGGCACAATAACCTGACTGAACCATCCCCACTTGCCACCTCTTCCAGAAGTTTTGTTTGTGGGTTTTCTTGCTTCTTATCTGCTGATTCTACTAGAATGAAAGCTCCTTGAGGACAGCTTGGGTTTATCGCTTTATGCCCAGCACCTGGAGCAGGGCCTGGCATACCACAGGTGTGACATGTTGAACAACTCAATGAGTTCATCGACCCAGAGCCACCCTGGAGTCCTTCACAGCTGAATTCACGAAAGGTCACATTAGTAGCTCTGAAAGCTTTATCTCTGCCCAGTCCTCACTTTTGAGTGTCAGCTTGCATATCCAGCAGCCTCCTGGACATATCCCCTGGGATGGCCAATGGGCACCCTAAAACCACCCAGTGTCCAAAGGAAACCGTGTTCTCCCTGAGTTCCTTCTCTTAGGAAGCAGCACCATCTTCTGCCCAGCTGCCCACACTGAGCACTGAGCCACCAAGTCCTGGCCATTTTCCCTTAGAATGTTCTCGATTCCATCCACTTCTCTCCATCTCAGCTTCTGCCTTCCACTCAGTTCAGTCCTTCTCATGTCTACAGTAGTTCAACACCAGACTTCATGTTTGCAGGATTGCCTCCTTCTAGCCCATTCTCCACACTGCCGGCAGGCCAACCCCCTTCGTAGCTCACCTCATCTTACTCCTGCAGATGAACCTGTTGAGATGCTGCTCCCTGACCTCCCAGGTTTGGCTCAGGTGTGCCCTTCTCACACACACACCCTGCTCCTCGCAGCCTGTGTTTCCCTCTGTTACAACTACTTGGGACTCGGCTGTTTTCCTTTCTGGCTGAGCAAAGTGATTGGGGCAATGTGGTTTTATCCCCAAATATTTCCCTAGTGTCTACCCCAGTGCCTGCCATGTAGCAGAAACTCCATTAAATATATGTCAAATGAATTAATGGATCAGATTATTTCTTCAAATGCTTTCTGAGGTTTTTTGGTCTCAGGTTTTAATTGTTTACATTGAACCATATTTTAGAGGTTGACACTTTCAATTGAGGGAGAGCACGTTGGAGCATGCTAGCAACCTAAATGGCAGGAGAAAAGAATGTGTCTTTCATTGAGTTTGAGCCGTTTAATAGCTCTCTGAACTCTCATTTTGCTTGGTGTCACTCTATAAAGATTTACCTGCCTGCACAGACATTTATATGACACTTAGCATTTGGGGTTCATCAGACCAGCATATGCACTTCAGAGGCCTTGGGTTTTGTGGCTGGTACTAATGTCCAAAAATCTGTGTTTGGTTTAGCAGCTGTCCCACTGGCACCCCAAGCTTTACACACTCAGCATCAAGCCCCGGGATCTCCCTCCACACCAACCCACTTCCCTCCTGCTCTCCTCTCCTTCACTGGTGTCACTCAGCTGTTCAAGGGGAAAGCATTGGAGTCACCTAGCTCTTCCCTCTTCTTCATTGTCCACATCCAATATCCCAAATAATATTATTTTTCCTTCCAAAAGCTCCTTCTTATTAAAGACACTGAATAAACATTTAAACACACACTCATCCTGATGAGTCCTCTGAACAATTAAAATAGTAAAGATTCTATGTATATGTTCTTTCTCCTTTGCTACCAGATCACTCTGCATTCCCTACTTAATTTCAGAGTATTTTAAGATACTTTTTATTATAAATATTCTGCTTACTTTATCCAAAGCACACACTCCTTCCACAGTGCTGCGACCCTTATTCCCTGGGATTTCTCAGTTAGCACCTTAGACGCCGCCCCCTCGCTGTGTCTCAGGAACCATGCTGAGCTGCCGCAATAGAGCAGTGAGCAAAGCAGCCAGATAACTTCCTGTTCTCGTGGACTTTAGAGTCTGGTGGGAATGTGGGCATTAAAAAGTAATTACACAAGTAATTATTGAATTTTAGGTGTGGTAAGTGCTTGGAAGGCAGAGCCCATTGGGCATAAGAGTGTAGAATGAGTAGGATTGGGCAGGCTCAGGAACAGATGCCCTGGGGTAGTGAGCTTGGTGAGCAAGGGAAGAGGGCAGTAAGGAGAGTGTCCAGGTACTATATCATCTAAACCAAGACTCTGTCAGTAGTCAGGGTGCGCTGTTAATAATTATACCCCCGAGTAAAGGGCATACACCAGTGTGGTCACCCAGCTGCAAAGGGGCCTGGCAGATTACGTGAAGGACTCTGGACTTGAACAGACAAACCATTAATGAGTTTTAAGCAGGGCAATAATATGACCAGATATATATAATAAAAAAGTCATCCTGACTGCAATTTAGACAACAGATTTGGAAAGGGGTCCAAGGTGATATGGGAAGGGAGAGATGAGGTTTCAGGTGGCAGGAGTGAAGAGGAGAGAAATGGATGGATTTCAGCTGTATGTAGGAGGTAGACTGGATGGTTGAAAGGTGACTAGCGCAGCTTTAGCCCAGAACTCAGTTAACACGGCTTATTTTCTTCATCTCTGGGTAACAATACTTGTTTACATGGTTTACTTGTTTATATGGCTTTCAAAATTAAAAGGAAGACCAACAAAAAGTTTGGAGATTTAGCCTCCTGTTCCTAATTCTGTTATCATCTCTAATTGTTCTTTTAATTGAAAATGTTCTTTGTCTTCATTGTCAACATCATAGCAATAGGAGAGCAGTTTCAGATTCATAAGTAAGTTACAATTTTATGTCATTAATCTAGGTGGCTTCATCTGTCAGTTTTATCAGGGATGTAGTTTTATATCATAATCGTGTATATGATCAACAGAGAAAGCTTAAACTTGCAAATATTTAAATTTTTTATTTTAATATCCCTCTGATTGAGATTTACACTTATTTGCTAACAGTTAGCCGTGAGGAAAAGTATTGTAGCCATCTGCCAACAACATGACTTGGTAAGGACACCTAGGCAAGCCCCCTCTCCCCCAAATGGGGAGTTCCTCTAACCAGGAGGCCAGTGTCCTGCATTGGAATCTATTTGTG